TGCCGTTGTTTTATTCCAATGCAGATTTTTCACCACTTTTCTTTAGATTTTCTTGGATTTTTAGTTACCTAGGAATCATACAAAATTTCAAGATATAGCTTACTGTTTGGAAATACTTAAAATCATCAAACGGTTAAAACAACACTAATTTATTTATTTAAATTTAACCACATGGTAAAACAAGTGAATAATGGAACACAGGCAAATCAAACAAAACAGATCTACAGGCACAAATGACATGATCTTGATGACATACCAAACCAACCAATAGGAGTATTATAGTACTATATATATCCCAATTAAGACCCTCAAATATGATTAGTTCACTTTGACGGAGGCGGAGAAGAAATGGCGGGAAAGTTCGGGGTTGCGGTGGGCAGTGGAGGGAGAGTGAGAAAGCTTGGGGTAGGCGGCAGGGTGGTCGGGATAGGTATTATATTGGGCAAGTGGAGAGATGGGAAAGGATGCATGGTGTTAGGAAATGAAGGCATGGTTGGTGGCTGGGGAAGAGGGGGAATTGTCGCCGCCACTGGCGGAACCCTAGGGTTTTGCATGAGGCGGCGAAGCTAGTCTTTGTGCTTGCTAGGCACAATGTGATCACGAGGGAGACGAGGATGAAGTTCTGGCCATATATTTTTGAAATATTTGAACTAAATAGCACTAAAACTTAAGTCATTTCTCTAAATAGTACTTAGATTGTTTTATTCTCTAAGTAGCACTTAATAATGTCCATAATGTCCAATGATGACGAATATTTAATTGAATAATGACTAATGTATAATGACTAAAAGTGCTACATTGGGAAGAAAAACACATATAATGCTATTTAAGGGAAGTCATTATGTTTTAGTGCTATTTAAATAAATTCCCCTATATTTTTTGTTTCAATGTTTTTGAAGTCCTTTGGCTTTTGGAATGGATGGTTTGGTTGGAGCAATTAAGAAGAAGGTTTTGTGGTGGCTTATGGGCAATGGGTAGGGGAAATGTATATATAGGGGAGATGTGGAGTGGGAGTCTTGCTCGTAGTTTGGTATATCTATATATATTCCATCATCATCGGCTGAACAAACAAGCACCTAGTTCACCCAATCACCCATATTCCATCTACTTCCACAAGTCAAAATCAAAATCAAGGCCTAAGAATTTTGATTCATTAGGTAAACTCATTTCGTTTAACTGGACGAGTTGAACATAGTTTAACGAAATGAATCTTT